TTTCCATCAGTAGCATCCCAAAACTATAGACATCAGCTTTGTATGAAACACCTCCAATGTTTTTGTAGAAAAACTCTGGAGCTATGTATCCGGGGGTTCCTCTCGCTGCAGTCAAAGACACAATGCTATTATCTAATGGGCATAGCCTTGCTAACCCAAAATCTGAAACCTTCGGAAGAAAGTTCTCGTCGAGAAGAATGTTGTGAGGCTTGATGTCGAAGTGCAAAATTTGCATGTCACATCCTCGATGCAAATATTCAATACCACGAGCCACTCCAAGTGAGATTTCAGACATTTTCTCGCAACTTAAGGAGATAACTCCTTGTTGAGAAAATATGTGCTTATCAAGAGACCCATTAGGCATGAAGTCATATACAAGAGCACGCTTTGAACCCTCCACACAAAAACCAATAAGTTGGACCACGTTAACATGGTGAATCCTTCCGATGGTAGCAACTTCATTGATAAAATCCTGCCCGTTGGCTTTCGACTTGCCCAACATCTTGATGGCTACAAGACGGCCACTGCGAAGCTTTGCCTTGTACACAGAACCAAAGCCACCTTCCCCTAACTTGTCCTTAAAACCTCTGGCCATCTTTCTTATGTCCGAGTAAGAGTACCTTACTGGCATGAGCTGATTATTCTGCAGAAAGTCTTCTATATTTTCATACATGGACAAGTGCCTCCTTTTGCATTTGTATATTATTAATGCAATTAAACAGGGAAAGCCAAATAAAAATTTGACTACTTGGAAGAGTCCTGCACGTTTCAAAAACATTGGAGTCACCAAATAGATTGATTGCTGTAATATCATCAAACTTGTTCCTTTAGTGCAACAATATTTTTCATTAATTAAGCAACTGTTTGGAAATCCTTTAGTTTTAATTTTTAATCTAAAAAGAGAGAGGAAAAAAAGGCGAGGGGAAATTATAGAAAGAAGATATGGGGATGGGGGTGGGAGATGATGGAGAAATGGAGAATTTATGAAACAAAAAAATTAAAGGAAAACACTTTGAGATTGTTTCAAAGACAATAACAATTTCTCTATCCTTTTCACTCTTTCTCATATTCTTCCATATTCCCCTGCAACCTTTAACTAAAACATAATAATAAGAATGAAAACAAAAACAAAGTGATCATCAAACATTCATTTTTGAATGATGAGTATCTGAAGCTAGAAAAAAGGTGCATGATAGCTGAGTACGAGTAGTTCACATTACCTAGGAAATAGTACAGAATTATCAGACACCCGTAATAAAGGGAGTTATACCTCAACTCGTCCCTAGGGATAAACTGACCATAGCGGATGAAGAAATACATCTGGTACAAAACCGTTTCTGCAGCAAAGCGATGAATATCGATCATAGTTTCCAAATGTAATTTTTTAATAAATATCAAGGTGACCACAAATAAAGAAACTAACTACACATGTATTATATATAAGCCGCGTTAGAGAGTAAACCACTTGCCTAGTGCCTCTACTGTGGGCAGCAAGATCTTGTTGTACCAATGTTCTGCATTGCAAAAGAAGAAGAATAATCATTAAGGATCATATATATTATTTTTCCTCTAAAGGATCATATATTATTTACCATTAAGAGAAGAAAAAGGGTGAAAATTAATATCATAGGAGAATGCTAGCTACCTTTCTGCTTGTACTTTCACTTATTACCTTCTACTTTTTTGTAAGATCTTACAATATTACTTGATATTCCAAACTGCCTATTTTCTAAATATTACTAGAAAAAATAACAATATATGAATTCAATAAAAGGTGAACCATGTGCTTTAGTTAAACAAAAAATCATGACATCGTTAATCGAACAGTGAAATGATTTCTAAATTCGGATTAATGGGGTATTTTGCAGTATTAGTTTATAGTGGTATGCAAAATAAACAGTTTTGATTATCAAGTAATATGTAAGATCTTAAAAATAAAGCAAAAAGGTAAAAAGAGAAAGTACAAAAAGAAAGGTAGCGATATTTATATGACATAATTTAGCCCCGAATACGTACTTAATAGAAATAAAAGTTCTCTCCCATTCATATGGTCGATATTTATATGACATAAGTTATTCTAGAGTTGTAAAACCTAAATCTCCATAGATAGACAGACTCCCGTAATTGAAGACTAATTATTTGCTGAATTAATTTGGTTACTCTAGCCTTGTGAATAAGAGAAATAATAGACACTACCTTTTCTGGTTTCGTAGCTAAAGCACTCAATTTTGCTCACGTTGTTGAGCACACAAGTCCCCTCTGTGCAGTTTGAGGTGCTACAAGCCTGGTCAAACCATGAAAGCTCGAAGCCATGCGCTATTTCACTATATATGCCTTCACAGGACGTCAAGTGTTGATGCATGTCTTGTACGGATAACGAAGGTGAGACCATAAGCATCTGCGTTAGTTCACAGGACTCCCCCAAATCCAATGAACTTATGGAGCCATTCCAGCCAAAGATGGAATAGGAAAACATTCTTAAACCATTGGACAGAGAAGAATTGGAAGAATAGGTGCCGTCCTTGACGCATGGAGCTGTTTCTACAAGGCCAGGAGAATGCATTGGATTTGGACAGTTCATAAAAATTATAGGCCGTGCCGTGTAACTAGAACTTATGTCCGGGCTATTTGAACTCCACGTCAGTCGGGCTAGATAAGTGCTGTAAGGATACCCAGAACTAAAGTTGGATGAGGTTAAAGAGTAACGTGGGATGGAGTAGTAGTTATCTTTCTTTTGAACAGCAGCATCCACAACTCGGATTGTAAGGTTGTTGTAATTGATCGCCTTGGCGTAAAACTTTCGCTTATACAAGTAGAGGACTGTAACATTTTCCTCACAAGTTAGCTCATACGTAGGGTTGCCGCAGTGTTGAGGGTCTCCCTTTAACCGAAATGGAGAGCTTATGTCAATATTGCCACAAGAAAGAGTACAATCAGAATTATTTTCAGGTATCGATGTTTGGGAACAAATAAAGGGAAGAAGAAAGAGTAGAAGAAGGGCTCCATATGCAACTAGTAAGAGACTTCCTCTACACATGGCAAAAGAGAATATAAATGTATCAAAATTATGGAAGAGGGCAAAAAAGCTTAATGGGGAGCAAGGGTTTTTGGCTTAAGGCAAGAAAGGGGCGAATTCAGATATAAATTGGCCGCTTGGAGCCCATTATTTATGACAAACGAAGCAAAGACAAACCCACGAGACGAGTAAAACTAGGATAATACTGACAAGCTGACCACTTACGTGGTCCAATAAAATTATTCCACCTGTCAAGTGAAACTCAATCAAACACTTGCTTATTCTTGTAACCAATCACCCAGTCTTCTTCCTCAACCCTTCTTTCTCCAGCAACCCCCGCACTCCGTCTCACTCCCGACCACTCCCAATCCTTCTTTTCTCCGGCGACGTCAGTTTCAATCCCTCTCCGGCGTCCAGATCTGAGCTCGGTAAAATTGGGTTATGGAAATCCGCGAAATTGGAGGTTGTGGAAGACAAGAGGTTTGGAACTTTGAAGTTCAAAAGAATTGCAGACTCTGATGAGAGAGAGATGCTGGGGAGGGAATGCGGTGAAAAGGTGGGGCATCGGTCGATGACCACTGAGGAGGGAATCTGGATGTTGGTCATGGGTTATGAGTTTAGGACTTCAAGGTGTTTGGTTACTAGAATAGTGGTGTTTTAAAAGGGCTGTGATATCCAAACATGTATTTTTACTTCTCATACAGCCTTTTAATTTTCGGTCGTCGGATCGGATATCGGATGAATTGAAGAAGATCAATGGATAAAAATTAACAAAAAGTGTGTAAGAAGTAAAAAAAAGATCTATAAATAGCACAACCCGTTTTAAAATTACAGATATCTTTATATTATTGGACCATGTCAGTGGTCCGTACACTTTTGATCCTGATAGGTTAGGACCCAAGTATTATTCAATTTACTCACTCTTAAGTGGCCCAATAAGTATTATCCCCGGTGGGTACACTTGTGGCCCAATTAGTAAACTCCCGATAGGCATGGAGATGGTCGCCGGAGAAGGTGAAGGGTTGGGCTGGGCAAGGAAAGAAGATGGGAAGAAGAGAGGGTTCTCGGGTACAAAATGTGTTTGGTTACAGAGATAGAAAAATATTAGAAGAGAGTTAAAATGCTAGGTGTTTTAAATTTATTGGCCTGTAAGATGGTCAGTAAATTAGGTACTTCCTGGGAAGATCCAAGTATTATCCTTTCCCTTTGTTAAAAAAATAAAATAAAATATATATATATATATAATTTTTTTTCCCACACACTCTCTTTTCATTTTCTGCACTTTATTTTTTTTTATTTTTAAAGGCCAGAAATGTACATATACATGTGTACGTAGGAGAAGAAAAATCGTATGTAAAAATCACTTACCTTTTTTCTTTTATTGAATGAAAAAAAAAACTTTAATAAATAGTTTTTCAACATAACAACCATAGTTATCGCAAAAACTTTAAAAATACATTAAAGACGTATGCAAAACACAAGTCTCATCAATACTAATTCCAACAACAACAACCAAGGCTAAACTAAAGAGAACAAATTTGCACAACCAAACTATATTGACAACTCCAAATTCTAGAAGGGTAATGTTAGAGAGATTAAATTTATAGAATAAATTTTGTAAACTCAATGACATGAAAGTTGATAATTGGATTATTACTAAAGTGTTAATCTACCTAGCATTACTCAATGTAGAATGACCAATATTGAAGCCACACGACCACAGAACCCACCTCATCTAACTCGGAATAACATGTATAATAATGGGTTGATCCTGCCCATCTGGGGAAGAAACAGTTTCCAGCATTCCAGTTTCATGTTATGGCGAGTAACAGTTGCATAAAAGCGACTAAAAGTTTTTATTTGATAACGATGGTAATAACCCATAAGCAAATCACGACCAAGTCCTTCAAATTGAAGTTAAAAACAAAATTGGGTGGAAGATTAAAAAAATTTAGAAAACCGTTTTTGGGGGTAGGAAATGGAACGAAGGGGTGAATATAAAAAGAGATTATTATTTATACCCAAAACATAGGGGACTTCTGCAATCCCATATCTTATATACAATCATATATATGAATTACCAAGATACCAAACTTCTACAATCAATATTCTCATTGGATAGAATGCTTCTGATCAATTTCTTGTGCTGGTTTCTCATGATAGCAGATGCTGGATTTGTAAGCACAGTGTATGGCGACAGAGTAGTCCCTGAAAACTGCAAAGTAAGACACTGTGAACACCACGGTCCAGCCATCCGATTCCCATTTCGACTTAAAGGACAGCCATTCTCGTGCGGTTACCATGGCTTTGATCTATCATGCACCACCGACGGCCGAACTGTGCTTGAGATGCCATCCTCATCTAACAAGCTCATCGTTGAAACGATTAACTACGCATCTCAAGAAATCAGAGTATATTCCCAAAATGATTGCCTGCCGAAAGATATTTTCTCTTCCTCGACCTTTCAATTTGTGCATGGACCGTTTGGTACTAATTCTACTTTATTCAGTTGTCCGTCACCATTACCTGAAACGGACGGGTATTGTCTTATTGAACTGAGTCGGTGCCCTTACGGCGTTGACAATCCTGAAAACCAAACCTACTACTATGCTGTCGACGGCCGGTGTTCCATTGGTCGAATGAACCTAGTTTCTTGTACCAAGCAGCTTGACTACACATCAGTTCCAGATATTTCATCAGTGAAAGAATACAGATCTCTGAAGCTGCAGTGGTCCAAACCATCATGTGGACCTTGCGAAGAGATGGGCAAGCCTTGCAGACTGAAGAGAACCATTGGTCAATATAATTTCACAGATAATCAGACTGAAGAAACTGAATGCGTGAGCGAAGGTATCCTTTAATCTCCCATTTAACTTGACTTGTTGCAGTACTTTGCCGGCAAATATTTCCCTCTTTTTCACATTGACAAGGTTTTAATTAGCTAGTTTGTGCAGACAATATATACAACAAATTTGGACTCAAAGAATATATTCGAACTTTTTATATTAAATGAAAACAAAGATTTATGCAAACAATTCTTCAAGTATTTTATTCTTTTGATAACAAAAGTACTAATTATTGACTTAATTAACCTGTTTTTACAGATAGTACCCGTGGAAGGACAAGCTTAGAGATATCTGGTAAGTTGTTCACATATAAGCACTATTTTTACAAGATTGAATTTGAACTGCTAATAGTTAGGTTAATTTTTGCACACTTGTGTGATCCATAATCATAAATCTTAGATGGAGAGCTAAATCCAAGACGGTTTGGATTATTGAACCTCATGCCAGTATGTTATATTTTAGGGTCCTAGTCGGAACTTGCTTCAACAGGCACCAATTTTCATCATTTGTTTTTCAAGTTTTGGATCCCATCCTTGAAAGGGTTCTTCTTTTAAGGTACAAGAAAACCTTATGAGTTCAAAACTCAGTGCCAGCATCCGGATAAAAGACACGTTAACTTCCCCACAAAAGAACCCTATATATATGTATAAGTATTAATATAAATTCAGTTCTGATTTCTGGGGGCTTTATCAGTTGGAGGCAATTGTGATTTATTTTAATTTAATTTAGAAATGGGTTGGTTCTTAACGCAGAGTTTCTTCTGTATCCGCAGGTATTTTCACATTTTCTGTGGTTGTAACAGTCGTGGGGACTCTCATTTACCGTGTTTATAGCTCCAACAAAATAGAGAAAACAAATCAGTTGAGGATTGAAAGATTTTTGGACGATTACATAGCACACAAGCCAAGTAGATATTCCTACGCTGATATTAAAAGGATAACAAATCAATTCAATGAAAAGTTAGGTCAAGGAGCCTATGGAACAGTGTACAAAGGACAGCTTTCCTCCGACTTACTTGTAGCTGTGAAAATCCTCAACAATTCTAATGAAAAAGGAGAAGATTTTTTAAATGAAGTCGGAACAATGGGTCGAGTCCACCATGTCAATGTGGTTCGCATGGTTGGTTTTTGTGCTGATGGGTACACAACAGCTCTTGTGTATGAATATCTACCACATGGTTCACTACAGAATATCTTATCATCAGCAGATAGTAAAAGCGCTTTCCTTGGTTGGGATAAGTTGCATGAGATTGCTTTAGGTATAGCCAAAGGAATTGAATATCTTCATCAAGGGTGTGACCTCCGAATCCTCCATTTCGATATCAAACCACACAACATTTTGCTAGACCAGAATTTCACCCCAAAAGTTTCCGATTTTGGTCTCGCCAAGTTGTGCTCTAGAGATCAAAGCGCAGTATCCATGACTACCATCAGAGGGACCATTGGCTACATTGCGCCCGAAGTGTTCTCTAGGAACTTTGGAAACGTGTCCTACAAGTCAGATGTCTATAGCTTTGGAATGTTGCTGCTGGAAATGGTCGGGGGAAGAAAAAACTTTAAGTTCATGGAAGAGGACTCCACCAGCAGCGAAGTCTACTTCCCAGAATGGATTTATAACCTTTTAGAACAAGGGGACGACCTACGGATTCACATTGAGGACGGAGGAGATGCTGAAACTGCAAAGAAGCTAGCTATTGTGGGTCTATGGTGCGTCCAATGGCACCCCATAGATCGCCCTTCCATGAAAGTTGTTATTCAAATGTTAGAAGGAGAGGGTGACAATCTAACCGTACCTGCTAATCCTTTCCGGTCTACTTCGAATTGACTGAATACAACTATACTTTGTGTGAAATGAAAGTGTTCAAGAGTTGTACGACTACCACTCATAAAATTTGATATGAGAGGTCAAGTGCTATCATACTAAGAAAGTTAAATATTAGGTTTATCTTATATCGTTGGATGTTTTATATTTTATGTAATATATAGAGTTTATCTATTTAAAGGAGTGTAGTTTTTGTGTTTTATATATATACACACACACACATGCATTCTTTCTTCTTTTCAGTAAAGCATCGAAGTTACGACCATTTTTTTCTTCTTTTCAGTCTTTTAATTTCTTTTCTTTATTGACTTTATATCAAAGTGTTTCATGAAAAAGCTTTTAGGCTTTTGAGAAACAATCTCAAGTAGGCTCATAGTCTCGTCATTCTTTTAGTCACTAAAATAAATATCAGACTTTGAAACTTCTTTTCTCTTAAATTTGCTAATAACTAAAATTACTTGTTAATCACTAGCATCTATGCATCGTTGTTATACTAAAAGTATCTATAATAGACTCTCCCAATAAGCTGCTAACTAAAATTTATGAACAAATTATAAAAGATTTATCTCCGTTCACACTCCGTGTATCTTGCTCTTAGGATAACAAAACCGCTACGAATTCTAAATATGCGGACAGAGAAATGAGCTCCTAATGGCATGGCTGTAGTTATATTTATACAGAGCTTCTACATTCTCTCTAGTAGTTTTTGTTCAAATTTCAAAAAACATGATTTAAGATGCTTTATCTTAAAATTCCATTACAAATTTCTCGTACTGTTGCAGTTTCTCTAGGCGTGCAGAGAATATTTTTTTTAACCGTGCAATACAAGTTTAGATCACAGATATCTAATCCCAATATAAAATTATTTATTATGAGTTGTAATTTTTATTTTTTTATTTTTTAAGTTTCAGACGTGAGATTGCATTTTTTAACAATCACATCCTGAGCAAATAAATTTTGATTACCCAATTTAAAAACAAAAAATTATTACCTTCAAGTTGACACTAGTGACATTTTACAACTATAAACTCTCAGCCAACAACAATTTATGCTTTCTAGCATCACATCTCAATACGTAATGTGATGAGAATAAATTTCATGGAAATTTCACTGATGTTGGCCTCAATGGCAATTTCGAAGAATTGTATAGCAATTTTTTTCTTTTGGTTATGGAGTTGAAATTCAAAGTCATCATTGATATTTGAAGAGAATAAATTTCATGGAAGTTTCACTAATGTTGGCCTCAACGGCAATTTAAAAGAATTTTATAGCAAAATTTTTCTTTTGGTTGTGGAGTTGAAATTCAAAGTCATCATTGATAATTTCAATGACAATAGATTTCATAGAAGTTTCACTAATGTTGACCTCCATGGCAATTTCGAAGAACTGTATAGCAAATTTTTTCTTTTGGTTATGGAGTTGAAATTCATAATCATCATTGATCATTTGATGAGAATAAATTTCATGAAATGTTGATGATACACCCTGATCCGGAATGTTCATCTGGACTTCGAGTCGAGCTGTGCTGGTGACACCCGAAAGGTGACGAAGCCAAAAAGTGCGGTGATATGGAAAATATGAATAAATTTAAACCTAAAAGCGACTGAATGCAAGAAAGCACATGTGAGCGGGATTGAACCCAATTCATATGTGATGTCAAAGCATAAGTAAAGTACAATAAAAGTGGAATAAGAATTATACCATCGAAGGTACTCTCCTATATCAACATTTGCCAAGAATCCTCGTCGACACGAAAGTTCTGCCACTAAAACCTTAAAAACAAGGGTGAGTGGGCCTGAAAATAAAGATTTGTAAAACCTTTTTCAAAAACGTAATAACAAATTGCCACAAAACAAGTATAGTTTCCAAATACACACACACACACACACACACACACACACACACACACACACTATATTACATATAGAATGACAACACGTGTGAATTGGGTTCAATCCCGTTCACATGCGCAGTCCTGAATTTAGTCACTTTTAAGTTTAAATTTATCCATATTTTCCACATCAGTACACTTTTTGGCTTCGCCACTTTTCGGGTGTCGGCCAGCACAGCTCGACTCGAAGTTCAGGTGAACATTCTGGGTTGAAGTACGTCAATTGACCTCAATGGCAATTTCGAAGAATTGTACAACAATTTTTTTTCTTTTGGTTATGGAGTTGAAATTCAAAGTCATCATTGATAATTTGATGAGAATAAATTTCATGGAAGTTTCACTGATGTTGGCCTCAACGGCAATTTCGAAGAATTGTATAGCAAATTTTTTTCTTTTGTTTATGGAGTTGAAGTTCAAAGTCATCGTTGATAATTTGATGAGAGTAAATTTCATGGAAGTTTCACTGATGTTGACCTCAATGGCAATTTCGAAGAATTTTATAGCAAAATTTTTCTTCTGGTTATGGAGTTGAAATTCAAGGTTATCATTAATAATGTGATGAGAATAAATTTCATGGAAGTTTCAAGGATATTGACCTAGCTAGAAAGGAAATGGATAACAAAGATAAGATGGAGACATGATTTTTGACCTGAATTTTTTGGATGCAGGTTTGATTATATTAGCAAAGTTTGAATCGGCTCCTATGATGTAGGGACAAGGATGGTCTGCCCTCCTTGTTCCAGTGCCCTCCCATGCCCTCCTGTTTTGTGTGGTCACGGTTAAGATACGTCAACATTTTATATTGTTTTTTTTATAGATATAATAAGACAAAAATAAATAGTAATATAAAATGTTGACGTGGCTTAACCGTGACCACACAAACAGAAGGGCATGGGAGGGCACGGGAATAAAGAGGGCAGACAATCCTTGTCCATGATGTAGGGCTGGAAAATTTTCTCGAAAATCTCAAACCAAACAAAAAAAAAATCCGATTCCATACCGAAAAATTCTCAAACCGATAATACAAAATTTTTTGGGATCCATACCGAATCGATCCTGAACCTCTCAGTACGGAAATCGGGATTACATATTCAATGGTTTGGGAATCTCGAACCGAACTGAAAAACTATATATATTTATTTTGGTTGCATGCATGTTGAATGTTGAATTTAAGTAGTTTGATAGTAGACCATATTAGAAATAGAAGTATGAAATTAATTACTATCGAACTTTGCAGCATCAATTCAACTTGATATTAATAAATTCGTATGAAATTTCAAATTGGTATGAGGTAAAAAACCTAACTTTCAATTTATATGAAATTAAGGAACATAATTTTAGGCCAAAAGCTCAAATTTTAGCCCATAACCCAAACATCTCAAATTTTAACCAAAAAATCCAAAAGTCCAAATCCGAAGATCAAATCCCAATCCATCATGAAATACCAAAAACATTTTGGGAATCCCGGAAATTGGGAATACCTAAATTTCAGTTTGGGATTGATATTCAAATTCTCGTCCCAAAAATTTTTGGTTTAGGATTCGGATTCCCATTTTCGATTTGGGATGCCATACTGAACTACCCCTACAATGATGCATAATTGATCAAGAAATTCTAACCCGCAGGAAGCATGTATGGCTAATGTTTATTGGCTGGTTGAGAATGATGACAACATCATTTCATAAATTCTAATTTTTGGAGTACGGTTGCAACTTGCAATGTTTAAAGAGAGATTTTTTTTCACAAAGTTGGTTATATATAATTGAGTCAACTTGACTATATTATTTATTCACATTAATTCACAATGAATACTTGACAGAATAAATAACAAATTATATTAAACGGCTCCACCTTTAATTGCACTGAGGTCGTTTTTTATAAAACTCAACACATGTAAAGTTGTACAGATGATTAAATTGAAAAAAATATCGATGTGATTAATAACGAGTAACTAGTGTGATGTCTTTAAATGGAATCAGGCAGGTTCTCCTTGATTCAGCTCGAGCTAACGACACTTTCATGACAATCTTCCGCTGCTTGAGAAAAAGAAACCGAAAAATAAAAATAAATAAAGAATAGAAAGGGGGCTACCAATGGAGAATTATTTGCATGTGGCCCATAAAAAAAGGTCCTTGTGAGGGGAAAGGTTGATGAATGCTATCCTATATTAGAAAATTTAAAGAATAAGTGATAACTTATATTGAATGATTCTATTTCTAATCACATTGAGGCATGATTTAGTATTGTGTGATTAGTAGTGGATTGTTAGGCAGGGAATTATTGAAGATTTCTAGTATTAACTTGTTAATTATTATTTTCATTCTTTCAACAATGCGAAGACAAATACCAATAAAGCAGTGATAGTTGGTATATCGGTTTGTTCTTCGATAATGACTAGTACTAGTAAATCAGTTTTAAAGAATGTTTATGAAATTGCAGTCCAAACTTACGTTCTCAAATTCTTTTATCTGCAACTTATTCATTGATGGATCTGACATTTATACAAGTAATATTCTTTATAGAAATGAATATTTAGTCAATCTGATGGTTTACTTATGTAATGGATCAGATTGTTTTGCCAGCCAACTGTTTTTTAGACCATGGCATCATGTTGGACGCACGACCTTCCGATTTTGCATGAATGCTTTCATGTCCCTCGCTGTTGTTTGATTCAGTGACATAAATCAGAAATAAAGAATCTGTGTGAAAAGCTGAAAAGGTGGGTGGGAATTATCTACCTAACTTTATATACTTTGAAAATAGGAAGCTATTGAAAACCCTAAGTGGAAATCTAATTCTTTCTTCATTTTCCCTTTTTTTCACCGTAGAAAAGTACTATGCTCTTTTAATTGACGGTTAATTATTTAAAAAGTATACTGTTTCTGTTTGATACTTGCATTGACAAAGACAAAAATATAATTATAGTTGTTGGAATCAAATTCGTGCACTACCGTGAGAGGTAAATGCACAAACTCGAGTAACTTGTAAAAGAAAAAACAACCGTAAGTAGTCAAGGATCGAGGGGTGGGGAGGGGGTGCCGGTAAAAAGTTTTCCAAATGTCGATTTAGTAAGCAATATTATGAGGTTCAAGCAGTAGGCAAGAGAACAAGTGACCAGATAATTGCGTTACCAGACATGAACCCTAGAAGTGTGTATTTATACTAGTTGAAGTCGAAACCTTTTAAGATATAGAATTTGTATTAAACCGAGAGAATCCCAAAAGATATCTAAGAAGTAGATATAGCATCCTATAGAGTATGATTAATTGTAGCGCAAGCCAATACTTAGATTGCAAGAACTCCAAGAATATAG